TTGTGTTGCTTGCAATCGTGTTGTGTGAGGTGGTGTTTTGTTTTGTTTTTTTTTAAAAAAAATCAAGCACAGAGGTTATTTTTATTGGGATCGCAGCCCATGGGGATGGGAGATTTTGCTCTCCTCTATCCTGTGACAAGCAGAGACATCACTTTGCTGACAAAGGTCTGTATAGCTAAAGCTATGGTTTTCCCAGTAGTGATGTATGGAAGTGAGAGCTGGACCATAAAGAAGGCTGATGGCCAAAGAATTGATGCTTTTGAATTATGGTGCTGGAGGAGACTCTTGAGAGTCCCATGGACTGCAAGAAGATCAAACCTATCCATTCTGAAGAAAATCAGCCCTGAGTGCTCACTGGAAGGACAGATTGTGAAGCTGAGGCTCCAATACTTTGGCCACCTCATGAGAAGAGAAGACTCCCTGGAAAAGACCCTGATGTTGGGAAAGATGGAGGGCACAAGGAGAAGGGGACAACAGAGGATGAGATGGTTGGACAGTGTTCTCGAAGCTACCAGCATGAGTTTGACCAAACTGCGGGAGGCAGTGGAAGACAGGAGTGCCTGGCGTGCTCTGGTCCATGGGGTCACGAAGAGTCGGACACGACTAAACAACTAAACAACAACACCCTGTGACAATCACATTCACCCCCTTCCCCCGTAGTAAGTAAAGAAATACCAATAACATGCTTGCAAGCAGTTGGCACGATGTGTATTTAGGCCCTGGAGGTAAAATTTTCCCCACCCTTTTACCCGAGAAGCTGAAGGCAGCAGGAACTGAACCCAAGACCTATTGTTCAGTCACCGATGTTTGCGGATGCTCTATGTCAGTTTTGCAGAGGGGGTTGCAGAGACCTAAAGGAACAAATACGGGTAAAGGGGGCTGAGGTCTTGCTAGACATGTAGGAAGTCCCAGGTAAAATCCATAGCATCTCCAGCTAAAGGACATTAGGTAGTGGGGGAGCTGCTACCAGTTAGTTCAGGGGGCATTGAGCCAGCTAAACCAAATGGCCTGGCTTGCTATAAATCAGCTTCTCTGTAACAGTGACTTAGACAGCCAATTGCGGAAAGGCTATTTATCTGTGCTGGTTGTAGATTTATCGACAAATCTGACTCTCCTCCCTTAAAAAAATAAAAGAATAAATAACAAGGAACGATAAAATCCCTATGCATTTTGATTATAGTATTAAGAAGCGCGTTATCTCTTGATCCTATGAGCGTTTCCACCCCCCACCCTCTCTTGTTTACCGCCTGCTAATTAAATTTTGTAGGTGGCGGTTTGAAATCTTACTGGGTTGTGTCATGTGATTTGCTTAATGCCCTGGTAGATCAGTATTACATAACCTCTAAGTAGTGATGGGGGTGGGGCAGGGAAGAAGGGACGGGCGGGTGTCATTCTGAGAGTGGCAGAAGGCGTCCGACTCTAGCTTTGCAGCCCAAGTGTCATTTGTGCAGAAGCTGACTGCAGACAGTTTTCTGGACGATTTGCAAATACATTTTATTACGTTCTGTCTTCCATCCCCAATTGCCTTCTTTTAGATATCTGTCTATCTATCTATAACTTTGACACATTGCAATCTAGACCGCTGCTCTTCTTTTACCTTAAAAAACATCCCTTATCCTCTGTCTTCATTTATTTATTTTAGCATGAAGTTAAAGGGAGCATGTGTAAAGCATCAACTGTGTGCAAAGAAAGACGATAGCCTTATGGTGTCAGATGTGTGTGTTTAAGATGCACAACTCTGCTATTATAGATTGTATTGTGGAACTCCAAATGTTCTGAGATTGCCTTGGTTATCCGTGATAGGCAATAAACTGAATCAGCATAAACAAATCCTGTATTCTTTATAGCACACACACACACACGTGTGTGTGTGTCATAATGGGGGGGGGGCGAGGCTTGGTTAGTTGGCCATCTTACAGCAGTTATGACATTTCCAAAACTGCCAGATTTTCAAGCAATGGCAAGCGGTTTAGGCGGTGGCAGCCCCACTTTCTGGGGCTAACTATTCTGTAGTGTGATAGATGGATGATTCAGGAAGTATCTGTTGGGGAGTGGTACGCATAATTCCATGTTGTCCAATCTGGCTGATTTTTTTGAGGTATAACCTCTTTCTGAGCCTACCAAAAGGGGTTAATGGGACCTCTGATTACATTAGAAGGCATATGGCAGAAACTAACACAACTCATCAGAATCTCCTTCTTGAAATTAGAATATCCACTCTGACCACTTTTCGTGGGGGCCGTTTCCAAACCAGCCCATTGGAGATGTGACCATTTCCACTCTGTTGAACTGGAACCATGCACATCTGTTCTGGATTTATGAATTATTTTAGCAATAAAGTCAAAATAGTATTATGATTATTAGCTATGTGAATAAATGCTGCTTTATTTCTTTGGGATTATTTATTAGGGAAATGTTGTGAAGTTGGCTTGTTCTAAACTGGGATTCCTGGTTTGACCAACACAACAAGGCAACTGCTCTTTGAAAGTGACGCTCATCTCTCTGGAAGCCTGCCTCCTGGGCACAGGGAGGAAGTGGGGAGTGTGAGAGCCCCATGCTTTCCTTCATGTAGGGCTAAGCAATGGCTGCTTTGGCATTATGTGTAAATGCCACAGGGGAAAATAATCTCAGAGGTGCTGTTAGTATTAGTATGATGCATGGCAGTTAAAACTGCTGCTTGGTTTAAGAACTCTTGGTGGATTAACTGAATGAGTGGTAACAGATTGATTAATCCATGGGTGGGCAAACTAAGGCGCGGTGGCCGGATCCGGCCCAATCGCCTTCTAAATCCAGCCCATGGATGGTCCAGGAATCAGCACATTTTTACATGAGTAGAATGTGTCCTTTTATTTAAAATGTATCCCTGGGTTATTTGTGGGACATTGTAATTCGTTTTTTTTTCCTTCCCCAAAATATAGTCTGGCCCCCCACATGGGCTGAGGGGCAGTGGACTGGCCCCCTGCTGAAAAGTTTGCTGACCCCTGGCATTAATCCATCAAACCAGCACTCCAAAATATAACAATCCATCATTCATTTCCAACTATAAATCATCAAGGGCAAAAAAAAAAAGTATTTCCAAACCATTAGAGTGCCCGCTTACATATCACTAAAACAAAAGATGGAGATTTGCAGATTTAGGAAATAACTACTACGATTTAAGGGACGCGGGTGGCACTGTGGGTTAAACCACAGAGCCTAGGACTTGCCGATCAGAAGGTCGGAGGTTCGAATCCCCACAACGGGGTGAGCTCCCATTGCTCGGTCCCAGCTCCTGCCCACCTAGCAGTTCGAAAGCACTTCAAAGTGCAAGCAGATAAATAGGTACCGCTCTGGCGGGAAGGTAAACGCCGTTTCCGTGTGCTGCTCTGGTTCGCCAGAAGCGGCTTATTCATGCTGGCCACATGACCCGGAAGCTGTACGCCAGCTCCCTCGGCCAATAAAGCAAGATGAGCTCTGCAACCCCAGAGTCGGCCACGACTGGACCTAATGGTCAAGGGTCCCTTTACCTTTACCTTTACTACGATTTAAATAGAAACACAATCAAGTGACCTGGTGAATAGTTTGCTTGCTCAGTCTGCAGTCCAGGGACTCGCTGTTGATGGACAATTTCAAGGCTTGTGCCGTTCTCCCTTCGTAGGGTTCTTTGCTTTTAAAATGTGACTTGGAGCAGAGACTGCGAGCCTTTAAAACAGGTATTGGGGAAACTCAGGTCTAGGGGCCAACTGCACCCTAGGCCTCTCTTAGCTGGCCCTTGGGGATTGTCCTAAGGCAACACCCCTCAATGTGCTTGCCTTCAAACCTGGAATGGGTCCTTGAACTCTGATAATGCCTTTCTCAACTGGATGGAAGGTAGAGATATGTGTGTGTAGAAACCAGCCTACTGGTGAAATTTACCTTCATTGCTTAGAGCAATTTGCTCTGCCCATGTTTGCCCCTGGCCCTGGCCACCATTGGCATGTGGCCCCTGGAAGGTTGCCCAAAATCACGTGTGGCCCTTGGTTCAGGGCTATCTTTAGCCTATGCAGGGTGCAAAGTTCTGCCCAGTGCCCCCAAATTTAATTAATTTGGTTGAAAATGACAAGCACTGTTGCTGAGTCTGACCGTGCAGCGTGTCTTTGGTAAAGGAACACACAAAGTCAAAAGTCCTTTAGTGAAACAGTAGATACAGTGGTACCTCTGGATGTGAACGGGATCCGTTCCGGAGCCCTGTTTGCATCCTGAAGCAAACGCAACCCACGTCTGCACGTGCACAGTTCGCGACTCGCCACTTCCGTGCATGTGCATGACGTCATTTTGACCGTCTGCGCATGCGCGAGCGGCGAAACCCGGAAGTAACGCACTCCGTTACTTCTGGGTCACCACGGAGCACAGCCCGAAAATACTTAACATGAAGCTACTTTAGTCCGAGGTATGACTGTATACATTTTGGTAATACAGTGGTGCCCCGCAAGACGAATGCCTCGCAAGACGAAAAACTCGCAAGACGAAAGAGTTTTTCGTTTTTTGAGTTGCTTCGCAAGACGAATTTCCCTATGGGCTTGCTTTGCAAGACGAAAAACGAAAACGTCTTGCAAGTTTGTTTCCTTTTTCTTAAAACCGTTAATACCCAGGGTGACTTCGAGGAGCAACTCATAGCATGCGGTGTGGTAGCCTTTTTTGAGGTTTTTGAAGACTTTGGTGATTTTGAAGACTTTGGGAAACCGTGCTTCGCAAGACGAAAAATTCGCAAGACGAAAAAACTCGCAGAACGAATTAATTTCGTCTTCCGAGGCACCACTGTACCTAGGTATATATGTATTTTGTTTTTCTAGCTTGATCAAAATTATTTATTATTTCATAACAGGTAGATAGTGAAGAGCTTAGGCGGCTTCAGTGGCGGGTGCCTGGTGCCCCCCCGAATTTAGCGCCCGGGTGCCCCGCACCCCTTGCACCCCCAGATAAACACGGCCCTGACTTGGTTCAAAAAAGCTGCTTTAAAATGAAAGACTGTCCTGTCTGAGGCATAGCTCAGTCGGTGGAGCATGAGACTCTGCATCTCAGGGTTGTGGGGTTGAGCCCCACGTTGAGTGAAATACTCCTGCACGGCAGAGGGTTGAGCTAGATGATCTTCATGGTCTCTTCCAACTCTATGATTTTATAAGCATTCTCCCCCTCCCCATGTGTGAGAGAAGAAAGAATCCCTCTCTGAGGATAATTCTCCCCACCCCTCCCAGTTCCTGCCCACATTTGCATGTAGCAAAATTCACTTTTTAAAAAGAAGTCACCCAAATAATTTCCTGGGGAGAAAACAGAAAAGACCTGATGAAGAGAGCACAGCGGGGGTTATATTTTCTGAGAATCCTCTGGAAAAATAATCTCTCAAAGGACCTGTTGATGGCATTTAACATTGTACTGTTGAGAGTGTGTTAACTTATGGTCTCGGTGTGTTTTGGGAGCTGAACGGTCAGGGAAAAAACAATGCTGTCCAGGGTTGCAAAGACTGCGGAGAGAATAACTGGGTGCCCTCTTCCCACCTTGGATCAAATCTATGCTTCCAGGTGCCATAAGAAAGCTGCAGAGATAGTGCAGGATAGTGCGCACCCCGGAAATGATCTCTTTCAGCTTCTGCCTTCTGGAAGAAGGTACAGGGTTATAAAGACTAGAACTAGCCGCCTGAGAAGCAGTTTCTATTCAAATATGATTTTGGTTTTAAATGCAGTGTAAGGTAGTCTCTATGGGAGTATATTGTATTTAATTATGGGGTATCAGAGTTTTTAGGGGGCTAACCAGGCTGGGATACCTGGGATAGCAGGCTTGTTGGTTTCTGAATGTCTGATGTAGATTTTCAATTTCATTGTTCTGTATGGGACAATGACAATAAAGATTATCGTATCATATCGGAAACAGCTTTTTAAATTGATCCGAAATATTGTTTCAGCCCAGAGTTCTATACACAGGTATGCTCAGTCCTGTGGATTTTATTGCGGCTTCTGCCCAGGTCAGTGTGCACAGAGGATGGCAGCATTAATTGATCATCAAAGCAGTCAGCTAGATAAAGGTTGCAAGTCTTGGATATCTTCTCTTTCTTAGCACACCCTTGGACCAGCTCAGGCATCTTTCTAATCCTTCTTGGAATTCCAGCTTTTGTTGAGTTCTTTCCTTCTTTTTTTTTTAAAAAAAAATATTCTAATGGCTTCTAAATAATTACAGCTAAGTGGCTCATCCACCCTGTTGTCAGCATTTGTCAGCACACTGCGGCCATGGGATGGATGCTTCCATTGTTGGCGTGCATTCCTGTTTCCAGGCAATCTTAGATAATGTGTATAATTAAACCCAGTGTAGACCGACTCAGCCAGATGCGCCTGTAATTTTGCTTCTCTCGACTTCAGTGGAGTTCGGCTGATGGGCAAAAATCGTGCCCAGTGCTTGTGCTTGGAAGGTTGGATCAGTAGCCAGAATTCCTTACAGAATAGTATTTACTTTTTAAAGAAAGCTTGTTTTTAAAGCTTTTTGCCAGTTGCACCCGATGTGTACGATGAGAACATTAAGATGTCCCTTGTGAGTTCATATCAAGTGTATTTACAGATTAGGCGGGGCTCCCTGAGTCGCCCCCTCCCTGCCTCATTGCTGCTAACCCCTTTGGCAGAGGAGAGCAACCAAGATGATAAAGGACTTGGAAACCAAGCCTTATGGGGAACGGTTCTGAGGGTTGGATATTGGAGAAAAGAAGACTTGAGAGGTGCTATGTTAGCAGTCTTCAGATACTCGAAGGGCTGTCACATGAAAGATGGAGCAAGCTTGTTTTCTGCAGCTCCAAAGGGCAGGATCTGAACCAATGGATTCAAATGACAAGAAATCAGATTCTGATTATACGCTAGGCAGAACGTTCTGATGATAAGAGCTGTTCAAGAGTGGAACGGACTACCTAGAAAGGTGGTGCACTTAAGTTAATTGGAGGGTTTTAAGCAGAGGTTAAAAGGTACGCAGGTGGCGCTGCGGGTTAAACCACAGAGCCTAGGACTTGCCAGTCAGAAGGTCGGTGGTTCGAATCCCCGCAATGGGGTGAGCGCCAGTTGCTCGGTCCCTGCTCCTGCCAACCTAGCAGTTCGAAAGCACGTCAAAGTGCAAGTAGATAAATAGGTACCACTCCGGCGGGAAGGTAAACGGCATTTCCATGCGCTGCTCTGATTTGCCAGAAGCGGCTTAGTCATGCTGGCCAGAAGCTGTATGCCGGCTCCCTCGGCCAATAAAACGAGATGAGCACCGCAACCCCAGAGTCGGTCACAACTGGACCTAATGGTCAGGGGTCCCTTTACCTTTACCTTTATGAAGAGGTTGGATGGCCACCTGTCAGGGATTCTTTAGCTGTAATTCCTGCATTACAGGGGGTTGGACTAGATGACTCTGGGTACCCCACGCACCTCTACAGTTCTTCGCTTCTGTAAACTCCTGATGCACCCTTCTCCTAGCATGATGGAGAAGAAATGAAAACAGATGTAAATCCTCAGAACGTTCTTTTCAGATCGTTGCTCAATACAGTGGTACCTTGGGTTAAGAACGTAATTCGTTCTGGAGGTCTGTTCTTAACCTGAAACTGTTCTTAACCTGAGGTACCACTTTAGCTAATGGGGCCTCCTGCTGCCGCCGCACAATTTCTGTTCTCATCCTGAAGCAAAGTTCTTAACCCAAGGTACTATTTCTGGGTTAGCAGAGTCTGTAACCTGAAGCATCTGTAACTCGAGGTACCACTGTCTATCATGTGTAGACATTTTTTAAAATGTGTTTCGCTTCTGCAGTTTTTGGGTTTTGTGCAAATCTGAGGGATTAAAAAAGAAAAAGAAAAAGAAAAAGAAAAAGAAATTCCGATGTTCAGGAGTGTACTTGAAATATTTACAAGCACAGCTGGCAAAGAAATCAAAGCATTTAAGAAGCAGTGGGCATGGAAAGGGGAGTGACCAAAGGTAAAAAATGCAAAACACTGCAAAACACTGAAACAAATTGTGTGTTACCCCCAGGGAAGCAGTTTGAAGCCTGGTTTTCCCCAATTTATCAGAAAAAAAGCATCAGCATTGGTGTTGTTAGAGGGTATTGTCAAATAATGTCAAATTAAATAGGAACACAGGGTAGGACAGGGGAAGGGAGAAGCTCCCTTGGTGGAGTATTTTTGGGACATTGGGACACTGATTTTGTCCCCTATGGATATTGAATACAGGTTGTGCTTTTGCATTTATCGTTTAAAGACAATTACTCCTTCAGGTCTAAATTCACATTTTGATCCGAGCCCTTATATATAAGATCAATACATCATAATTTGCATTGCTAATATCCTGTTTAAGAAAAACCACTTCCATGGGTATTTGGGCTATGCAGTATTTGGCAACATTCGTGGTATGAATGGTAACAGTATATCTTTAAGGTATGTTTCAGGTGCAACCAATTAACTTTGTATGCTAGTATAACTGAGATACAGTAGGATTTGGCATTAAGATTGGGGCACCAGGAAAGATTTTTTTCCAGTGAGGCTTGTATGATCATAAGATTGGTAAGCAACAATTATTTATGTGCCTTATTATCTCAAGTGATTAAATTATGGCTACAGTATCTTTTGGAGTACTTCTGATATAACTTTTTTTCTGTTAATGGAATTGATTATTTATATCACCATAGCCTTATGGTTTTTAATGCTTCCAGGTGTTATATTGAACAGATATCATTGTTTTGTGTGTTTGGCCTTACAACAATATGTATATGCACACATAAAGAATGGATTTGGAAATTGGTGTTTTATGCTAGCTACTCTGTTTTTTGCTCAACAGCATATGATGCTGAATACACCATTATTCACACAAATTGAATTTTCAAATCAGCCTTTTTGTCTGCATTTTTTTTTTTTTTGCTTTAAATTAAATAGGAATGCAAACACCTGCAGACATGCAGTAGATTCTGCTGAGGGCAAGCCCTCAGTATAAGGTGGTTTCCTACATCTGAGAGAGTAATGGAGGTGCTATTGTTGCAAACACCACCATGCTGTGTTCTTTTTCATATATATATATATATATATATATATATATATATATATATGTATGTTATTAGTTTTTTAACATATCATTTTCAACAGTAATTAAACATACCTTTACATCTTATTCATTTCTTTTTTTACTTCCATCAGTCCTGGCTGAAAAGTTTCCAATCTAATCTCTTCGTATGCATTTCTTATCTTCCCTATTACATTTCAAACTCATAACCAATATCTCTATCTTTTTCTACTTTGTAACACTTTGTATAGTTCTCCTTACAAAACTTCTTGTAGTCCTACTAGCGCAATTTGTTGAATACAGTTGCTCTTCAAATAATTCATATACTCCTTCCAATCTTCTGTAAATCTCTGGTCCCCACCATGCTGCGTTCTTGTCCCCCACCCCCAATTACGTATGTATACTAGGGACAGGGAACCTGTGTCTCTCCAGATGTTGCTGGATTCAACCCCCCTTCATCCTTGTTGATGGGACATGCCGGCTGGTGCTGGTGGGAGCTGGACTCAAATCTCACCTGAGACGCCAGAGGTCCCATGTCTTGGCGCTACTCTGACCAGCAATGGGTCTTCTGGGTCTCAAGCAGGGTTCTTTCCCTTCATCCAGCACTGGATTGTTTCCCCAGCTGCTTCAGAGCAGTTGGATACACTGGTAGAACTGCTAGAGGCAGCAAAAAGAGGAAGACAACAGGGAATGAATCCTTCTTTTGTGGAATGGGTGACTGACCCCTTGGGAATTTACTGCTGTTGTAGGATACTGATAAACAAACGTTTTGCCATGTCCTCTTTCTGTATTGCAGAGGTGAGGGCTGGCCCACCCATGAGGCAAGGTGAGGCGACTGCCTCAGATGTTAAGATCCATAGGCGCAGCAGATCCGGCCTCCATCCATCACCCACTGCTGCTGTTGTAGGAGCAGCCACACCTGCCCCACACCTCTTGGAGTTCAGATTTGCTGCCTCTTCATCAGCCCCCCCAATGGCTCCTCTACAAAGACCTGTTGTCAAATAGGAGGCAATGCTGGTCTCCTCCCACCCTTGCTCTCAATGTAGATCTTCCCT